GTCACATCGGAGTAAAAGAAAAATATTTAAAAACAAAGAATTAAGATTTGTATTAAAAGAAAAAAAATTACGTGCCATTGTGAAATAAAACGAGGACCGGCCGCTGTATCTGTGAGTGTGTGCGTGCGCGTCTCTGTGCTTTGGCTGTGTGTACGTGAAGAAGGAGAATGGATAAAGAAAAGAAAAAAGAAACATCAAACCGTTTGACGGCGAGAAATATTCCATCTGGAAATTTCGAGTAAAAGCGCTGTTGGCCGAACACAATGTTTTAAAAGTAATAGAAGATAATGATAAAACAGTGGGTGACAATGAACAGTGGATGAAAGCTGAACTAACAGCGAAAAGCTTGATAATAGAATTTTTGTCAGACTCGTTTCTGCATTTCGCAACTTCCGACAATACAGCAAAAGAAATTCTAACAAATTTGGACGCCATATACGAGAGAAAAAGTTTGGCATCTCAGCTTTCAATCCGAAAGCAATTATTGTCATTAAAACTGAAACCCGGTTTCAATCTCATAAGTCATTTCAACGTATTTGATGACCTGGTTACAGAACTAATAGCTTCTGGTTCTAAAATTGAGGAGGTGGATAAGATAGCTCATTTGTTGATGACACTCCCTTCGACTTATGATGGTATTGTGACTGCTGTAGAGACTTTGTCTGAGTCCACATTGACATTAGGTTTCGTGAAAAATCGGCTTTTGGACCACGAGATTAAGCTGAGGAATGCTAGCAAAGACACGAGCTCGAAAGTTTTACAGGCGGTAGGAAACAACCAGCAAAGTGATAGAAAAATATTTAAAAATATTAAAAACAAAAATAAAAACAGTTTCAAAGGAAAAATAGATAAAAAGAATATGAAGTGTTACCACTGTAATAAGATGGGTCATTTTAAAAGGGATTGCTATGCTTTAAAGAACCTTCAAGAAAATCTGCCAAAACAAGCACAGACAGCTGCCGCAGCTCAGCAGAATGGCGCCTTCGCCTTCATGTTACAAAGATCCAAACACATGCAAAGAAAAGATGGCATGTTTTTTGTTTTGGATTCTGGTGCGTCCGACCATATGGTCAATGATAAGAGTCTTTTTGAAAGATTTGATGTTTTGGAGCAACCGATTGAAATCACAGTCGCCAAGTGTGATGAGTACATATACGCCACAGCAATGGGTGTGGTTCAAGTTAGTAATAATTGGCAACAAAATATTACGTTGAAAAATGTACTGTACTGTGAGCAGATTCCGCAAAACTTGCTATCTGTCAAAAAGATGCAAGAGGCTGGAATGACGATCGAGTTCTCAAAAGATGGTGTAAAAGTAACCAAACATGGTCAAATCGTTTTTAAGGGTAAGTGCTCATCTACCATACCGATTGTTGAATTTAATTTATGCCATAGGGCATATTTAACAAATAATAATATTAATATGGATCGATTGTGGCATGCACGTTTAGGGCATATGAGTGAAGGGAAACTAAAGGAAATTATACGAGATAAAATGTTTGAAGATATTGATCTATTAAAATCGATTAAATTTGATTATGACATTTGTATAGCTTGTGTTAAAGGAAAACAAGCCAGATTGCCATTTCCCAAATTTAAAAGTAAAGATTATATTGATAGAGCTTTATTTGTTATTCACTCAGATGTTTGTGGCCCTATTACACCCCCTACAATTGATGGTAGAAATTATTCTGTAATTTTTGTGGACCAATATACTCACTATTGCGTGACCTATTTAATAACTCAAAAGTCTGAAGTATTCGATTGTTTTAAAGATTTCGTAGCAAAATCTGAAGCTCATTTCAATTTAAAGGTTGTGAACTTATATATAGATAATGGAAGGGAGTATTTGTCAAATGAAATGAAAAACTATTGTGTTGAGAAAGGTATTACTTATCATTTGACAATCCCACATACACCCCAGCAAAATGGTGTGTCTGAGCGTATGATTAGGACACTCACTGAGAAAGCTCGTACTATGGTTAGTGGAGCGAGCATAGATAAACGTTTTTGGGGTGAAGCTGTGTTGACAGCAACCTATTTAGTAAATAGAACTCCAAGTAGAGCATTACAAAAATGCAAAAAGACACCTTTTAAAATGTGGCATAAGAGGAAGCCAAAGCCGCTTTTAATAAATCTTTACGCCACCCAAGTATTTCGGTTTCGTTAATTAGAACGAGAAGGAACGTGTGAGTCGTTTCTGAGGACACGACTCTAATTATACCCGTACTCAGTCAGTATATACATTTTTGAGCTCATAATTTTTTAGAACTTTAAAATTAAAAAAAATAATTTTAATTTTACATTTTTTTGCTACATCTGTTATCTACATCTACATATACTATGTATATTCTACATCTAACATGTATATTATACATGTACCATTTAGATTCTACATCTCCTCCGTTAGGGGTTGCTCGCGCACTGAACGCGGCAGAGTGTGCGAGCGAGAAAGAGAATGAGTGGTTGGTTTCTTGCAGGAGGGGGCGACGGAAGCAACAGAAAATTAATTTCTTCATTCTGGCTATAATTATGATCCGATCTGATTCAGATTCAGCAATCTGGTAGATATGGGCATTTTCTACGATACTGCTGTTTTATCGTATCTTTAAAATTGTGCCTGCCACAGATTTTCGTCCTTTGTGGTTGGAGAAGGGGGCGTGGCGAAATTTTGAAATACACTTGTAGCAGTGTGATATCACATGAGTCTGGAAACCAAATTTGGTTACCCTAACTCTTATAGTCTCTGAGATCCAGGCGCTCAACAAGACGGACGGACGGACGGACAGAGAGACATGGCTATATCGACTCGGCTATTGATGCTGATCAAGAATATATATACTTTATGGGGTCGGAAAATTTTCCTTCTCTGCGTTACACACATCCACTTTTACCACAAATCTAATATACCCCTTAACTCTTCTTTGAGTACGGGTATAAAAACTATTCTAAATTTTCATGGCGCCCCCGGGTGGACGTAAAGAATAAATAAAAAGGCAACAAAGAAAAGTGACAGTGACACAGTGTAAAAACAGTGTAACAAAAATACGCCAACATTAGTTATAAATAATATAACTAATTAATTCTATATTATAGAATAAAAAGTATTGTATAGTTGCCCGCGTCGTGTGTGTATCAAATAACAAAAGACTTGCCAAATCCGTCGTGTCGGCCGCGCAATACCCTCACCCGCTTGCTAATCGTTGCTGCTACCCTGCTGGTTACCTGCCGCTTCACCATCAGACACCGTTGCTGCAACCCAAGAGACCTATGGCCCCTTGTGATTGCACGGACTGCAAGAGGAAAGTGGCAGCTGGACTAAAAGATCCGAACGCAGAGCCTGAGGTATTTGTGCAAAAAATTGAAAGCTAGAGCCGAAGACATACATAAATACATATATAAATTGTCTTGTGCTGGAAAAATTGCACCTCGCTTTCAATTCTTGGCACAGCCGTATGATATAGTAGAGTTTGATTTGCATGCATTTAATTTATTAGTGCACATACATACATATATAACACCATATAATACTGTAACGAACTGTTTCTGTCCGTCTAACTCAGCGAGGCTGGCTCAGCGGCCGACGGTTCGTTGCAACAAATTTGTATGTTGCCTCACAGACACGAAAGAATGCACGGGTGGGTTTAATTACTGGTTTTGGATGTTTTATTGGTATCTTATACTTATGGGATCTTACGTTCTATACAACAAATGGATCGTTCTTCAGTTTTACACGCTCTCTCGCTCTCGTCTCAGGCTCCTCGCTGGTGCTGTGGCTATGCGTCCGACCTGGCTCACGCCTGATCTACACACACAACTCCGCACCCACTGAGTCGCTTTTGATCGCCTTTGCGGAAGCGGTACCTGTCGTCCTTCCTCTGGCACCTCGCAGACCTTGTTCCCTTTGCCGGGTCGTACTGCTGCCTCTTGGATGGGTCACTTTGGTTCTTCATTTGCCTCTCACGTCGACTTTCCTTGTCAGTTGTCCTCACGCACTCGCTTGTGTTCACGCTTTTTCCTCGTTGCTCGCACTCCACTGACTGTCCTCCTTCACTGTTGCCGGGCTCCTCTTATACCCTCGCTTCGACGCTAGCGTCCGCGCCTCTGCCTAGCAACAGCGGTAAATCCGTGCGCCGCTGGTAATTTTCCATCGGCCTCTTCGCTTGATTCCCTCACGTTCTTAACGGGACCGGGCTGGTGGCGCGATCTCATGTCCATACATGGACATGCGCTGGACCGCTGCCGGCCCGCTCCCGCCGTTCCTAGCCTGACGTGAGCGCCGCTCCTTGCGGGCTCCTCCATTCCCGACTCCCTCCACGGGCTCGTACCGGAGGCATACTCTCATGCCCATATCTGGTCATGCACTGGAGCCCTGCCACTCTAACGGACCCCGGCTCTCACTCTCTTGTGAATTCGCCGTGAATTCTCTCCTTAACCCTTACTTGGTTCCCCTGTGAGGAAACTCCATTCCTCACACTTCCCCCTTTCTTTACCAGAGGAAAACTCCCTTCGTTTTCCTCTCGGCCACCTTCCCATTTGAATTCAAGCATGCGCGCGGGCGCGCACTCACGCTGGTTCCGGACTGGTTCCTCCACTGCCCGATCGGTTCGCCACCTATCGGATCGGGTCTGCCGATGCAGTTCCGGAACCAGCTCGTGCATGATTCTCCCGGTAGGTGCGCGCTTCGCGTGCACGATAGGTGCGCGCTTTGCGTGCACGATAGGTGCACGATATGTGCGCCTCTGATCGTGCTGCCAGACCCTCTTCACGTGTTGCCGGACCGCTCCCCTTTTCACGTGTTGCTTCCGCTTGCGGTAACTATTGTATACGCTGGCCGGCCGCGTTTTCGCGTAAGTTTTATGTTGCTGCCCTCGTGGGCTCTGTATACCTCGCGTGTTAAACCCCCGCGTATCCCGACATCAAGCTGCCATGCCCCGGGGTAAGTTGTACTTCATTCTTTATTCATTTTAATCTCATTCACAAATTTTCCCTCCCCCCTTTCATGCCTCGACGGACACCTCGACCTGGTTTGCCGATGCTGATACCCGGTACCGCACCCCGCGCACCCTCACGAGACGCTTCACGCGTCGACCGATCCGGCGTGTGCCTTCCACCGCCCGAGCCACTGCCTCCGGCCATTCTTCAACATCCACATGTCGCCAGCGGACGTTCTTCCCCGTCGGCTCCTCCACCGACTGCTGTCTCTGCAGCTGCGGCCGGGCGACCTCAGCCCTGGGATCCGGGCACGACGATTGCCGCACTAGGACAGGCCTAGGCTTGTCTTTCGCAGGTGAGGGCCACACCCACGGACCGCGCTCCCACCTCTCGCTTTCCGTGTTCGCTGACGGTACCTCCGTCGCCGTCGTCATTGCTGGCACTGCCGGTTCCTCCGTCACCGTCGCTGCCGGTACCTCCATCGCCGCCGTCGGTATTTCCGTTGCCGTTGCCGTCGCCGTCGCCGTCGCTGGCGCTGCCGCCTCTTCCGTCGCTGCCGCCCCCTCCGTTGCTGCCGCTGTCGGTGCCTCTGTCGCCGTCGCAGCCGGTGCCTTCGCTGCCGCTGGCTCCCGCTTCTCCGACGCCGTCTCCTCTGCCCTCATGGCCTCTGCCTGCCTTCGGTGCTGTCGTGGATCACGCGCGTTGCTTCGCGGGGCCGGTTCCTCCTCCCATACTTTCCGTTCTTCCTGCGCTTCCGATGGTGCGGGTTCCGACGCCCACGTTATGTGGATAACTTGGTGGTGCCATATCATGCCATTCCTTACCGCCGTGTGCACGTTTTGTGACACAAATGGCCCGCACACCGCGGTCTCCGGACCACCCACTGGGGCCGCTGGGCCTCTTCCTGTGGCGGCTCCTTCGGTGCCTCCTCCTGTCGTGACGACGACTGTTGTGTCGGTGCGTTCGGCGGTGGTGATTTTGGTGGCGGTGACTGCGGGGGCGTCGGTTGTTGTGTGCTCTGTGGCTGCGGCGGTGGCTCGGGGTGCCGGCGTTCCCATAAGGGTGCCTCCTCACCCTGTTTGGGTTGCTGCTGCCCCGTCGGTCCGCTAAACAGACCTGTCCTCACCTTGAGGAACCTCGGAGGAGGCGGAGCCTCCTCCTCGACTCCTCTCGTGAGCTTCGGCTTCCCGCCGCGCGGCCTCCATCTGCCGTTGCAGGGCGGCATATGCTTCCCGCATCATGGCCTTGTTCAGCGCCGCCTCCCTTTGCGCCTTCTCCGCTGCCTTGCTTCGGGCCTCCTCCTCGCGTCGCCGCTCGTCCTCGCGTCGTCGCCCCTCTTCGCGTCGCCGCTCCTCCTCGCGTCGCCGTCCCTCCTCGCGTCGCCGCTCCTCCTCGCGTCGCGCCTCTGCTGCTGCTCGCCGATTGCGCTGCTGCTCCATCTGGCTCCTCCGCACGGTCTCGGCTGTTGGCCGCGCTGCTGGGGTCGCTGCCGGCTGTGCTGCTGGCGTCGCTGGCGGCTGCGCTGCTGGCGTCGCTGGTGGCTGCGCCGCTGGCGTCGCTGGCGGCTGCGCTGCTGACGTCGCTGGTGGCTGCGCCGCTGGCGTCGCTGGCGGCTGCGCTGCTGACGTCGCTGGCGGCTGCGCTGTCGGGTGTGCTGAGGCCTGCGCTCTCCGTTGCAACGGTACCTCTGCCGTCCGTCCCTGCTGCGCTGCTGCTGGCCTTGACGTCGGCTGCGATGGCGTCGCTGGCGGCCTGGTTTTCAACGGCTGCTTCGGCTCCCGTTGCCCTGCAGTTTCGCGCTTCCGCTCACGCAATTAGCGCTCCGCCGATCGGATGGCGATGCCGAGGAACGCTGCGTCGTGTCGCAGCTCCTGCTCCCGTGCCCGCTCCTCCTCGTCGTTGAGCTGCCATCTCCGGAGCTCGGCTCTCCTCGGAGCCGGCTCGACGGAGACCACCACCACGTCGCTGCCGTCGCTGTCCTCCTCCTCCGTTGCTCCTGGCGACACTTCCGGCTCCCGTCTGCTTCGAGGAGACGCCCACGAGGACCACTCGCTCCTTGGGGATGCCATGGGGCTTGTGAATGGGGACGCCATGAGCTCCAACTCTGGAGTCTCGCTCCGCCGATCGCATCGCTCACCTCGCGAGGGCTCCGCCCGTCGCTGGCGCTGGATCTCGGGATTGCGGCTCCCCACACTTCTGGCTTGTTCCTCCAAGTAAAATTCCAACATGGCGATTTTCTTCCCTTTTTTTTCTCTTTTAAAGTCCGCGCTTGCGTTTGCGTCTACCTCTGGCTCGTGACTGATCGACAGCTCCAGCCGCTGCCGCTGTCGAGCCCTTGCTGTTTTTCCCGTCGTTCCGTCGTACGGTAGTTGGGCATTCCTTCTCCCGCTCTCTCGACGGTTCCTGCCTCTCAGCATTGGGCTCTTCGCCGCGTTAACCCTTTCGCGGCCGGTGGGGGTCTGCTCGCACCCGATCATACCTGATCCCACCCCCTTTTGTTTGAAGAGCTTTAAATATATATATTTTCCTTTTCACATTTATTATATTCTTCCTTTTTTTTTTCCTTGTTTTTTCTTAGGCCTTGCCGCCCGGCTTCCCCTCTCCCCCCGACTGATCGACACCCCCTTCGGCCCATGTGAGTACTGTGAATGTGCGCTATCCTTTAATGACTCTGGCTTCTTCTCCAGCCCATCTTGCATCCTTGATCCGTGATGCCAATCGTCACACCTGCCCCTGACTAACAGGTCCTCCGACCTTTCGCCTGGCTGCAATATGACGATCGGCCCTGGCTCGTCACCTCATTGCCGCCTCCGGCTTGACCTTTGGCGTGACCTCTGCCCCACGCAGCTGCTTCGGACCCGAGGATCATCCGACTCCTCGCCCGTCTGCAACGCATGGGTAGTGTCTTCTGCCCAGCCAAGCCCGACGGCTGTAGATGACCCAGGCACACTGGACCCCAGGACCCGGAGTATCACTCCCACTTCACTGGACCCCCGAGGGTATCTCTCCGCCCGGGTCTCGGTCAGCCGAACGCCTTTGGCTTCTGGATCGCTCCACCCGTTTCTGACTCCTTATTTTCCTTCGTCGTTTGCCTTCGTCGTTTGCTTCAGATCCCCAATATGTGCCGTCCGTGTATGCCTATCGCCGTCTTTACGCAGCTTGCATATCACCGGTGATACGAAATCAGTGATCTGGTAGGGACCGGCATACTTTGGGGCCAATTTTGCTGCGAACCCCTCGGCTGCGTTAGACAGGTGGTGCTGTTTAACCCACACCTTTTCACCGACCTTGGGCTTCCAAGCTCTCTTTCGCAAGTTGTAATATCTTGCCTGATCCTGGGCTGCTCTTTCCAAATTCCGCCTCACCAGCTGAAAAAGTTCTTTCAGCTTTACCGCGTGTTCATCCGGAGTGTTTGTCTCCTGACCCGTGCCGAGTGTTTCCTCATCGTACAACGCCTTCGGCAGCCTGGGCTCTCTCCCTTGCACTATGAATGCTGGTGCGAATCCAGTGGACTCAGTGACCCCAGAGTTCACGGCCAGCATTAACTCGGGCCACTTCTCGTCCCAGCATCTCTGGTCCCCTTCGGTGAACTGCGCGATCATGGTTTTCACCGTTCTGTTGGTGCGTTCCGTCGGGTTTTCTTGCGGCGTGTACGGTGCCGTAAACTGGTGTCGAACTCCCATCTGATCCAGAAACTTTTTAAACGCCCGACTGGTGAATTGTACCCCATTGTCGGTGATCATCACCTTGGGTACGCCGAACCGGGCCAATATTCTTTCTCTGAAAGCCTTTATCAGGGCTTCTGCCGTGGCCTTTCTCATTGGCACCAGCTCGGTCCATTTTGAAAACCGGTCCACCAGCACCAACAGCATGGCGTTGCCGTGTTTTGATCTGGGCAATGGTCCCACAAAATCCGCGCAGACCGTCGCCCATGGTTCCTCTGGTACTTGTGTCAGCATCTTCCCGGCCGCCTGTGCCTGACTTGGTTTGAAACGCATGCAGGTGTCACATTTCCTGACATACGTCCTCACGTCTCGGTGCATCCCCGGCCAGTAGTACCTGGCAGCTATCCTTGCCATCATTTTCCTGCCGCCGGCGTGACCAGCCTCCGGGATATCGTGGTTCTCCCTCATGACCCGCTCCCGCCGATCCTTCGGCACGCAAAGCTTCCAAGCTACTACTTCTTCGTCGCCGGCCCGGTGCGGGATATGCCGGTACACCCCGCCTGCCTCCTCCACATAATCTGGGAACTTGGCCGGCTCCCTTCTCATCTTCTCCTTGACCTTCTTTATCCATGAGCATTGCTCTTCGGGCTCCTGTCCAACCTCCTCCGCTCGCATACATCGCTCTTCCATGGGCTGTCGGGATAGCGCGTCAGCCACCACGTTCTGCTTCCCCTTCCTATACGCTATTTCGAAGTCGTATTGCTGTAACTCTAGCGCCCATCTTGCGATTCTCCCCGTCGGGCTCTCTATGCTGTTGAGCCACTTCAATGCCATGTGGTCGGTGACCACCTTGAAGTGATACCCTTCCAAATAGGGTTTGAGCTTCCTGATGGCCCACACAATTGCCAGGCATTCCTTCTCTGTAGCCAATAATTCTTCTCCGCACTGTTCAGCGTTCGGCTGGCGTATGAGATCACCCTTTCGCCCTTCTCCGTTTCTTGGGTGAGAATCGCTCCCAATCCATAGTCGCTGGCGTCCGTCTGTAGCACAAACTTCTTCGGAAATCCGGGCAAGTTAGCACCGGATCGGCTACCAGCCGACCCTTCACGGACTCAAATGCCTGTTGTTGCTCTGATGCCCATTCCCACTTCACCTTTTTCTTCAGCAATGTGCTAAGCGGCTGTACCATGGTGGCGAATCCTGGCACGAATCGTCGGTACCATGAGGCGACGCCCAGGTACTGGCGAAGCTCTTTCACGTTCGCCGGTGGCTTCAGCTCTGAGATGGCGGCCACCTTTTCCGGATCAGTGCAGATGCCTTCCCCCGTCACCAAATGCCCCAGGTACCGCAGCTCCCTTCGGCCGAACTGGCATTTTTCCACATTCAACCTTAAGTTGGCCCTTTTTAAGCGTCGGAACACCTCCTCCAGATTACGTTGGTGCTCCTCTTTCGTTCGGCCTATAACGATGATATCGTCTTGGTATGCGAAAGCATGCGGCATCATTTCCGGACCAATAACCTGGTCCAACGCCCTCTGAAACGTGGCCGAGGCCGAATGTAGCCCGAACGGCATCACTTTCCATTGGAACAATCCCTTGCCTGGCACCGTGAAGGCTGTGAACTTCCGGCTATCCTTTTCCAGTGGTATTTGCCAATACCCGTCCTTCAAATCCAAGCTACTGATGAACCGTGCTTCCCTCAGCTGATCTAAGATGTAGTCAATTCGCGGCATTGGGTATGCGTCCTTGATAGACTTTGCATTGATTTGTCGGAAGTCCACGCACAACCTCCACTGACCAGTTTTCTTTTTAACCATTACGATGGGGGAACTATAAGGGCTCTTTGATGGCTCGATACACCCCATTTCCAGCAGCTTGTCTACCTTTTGGTTGATCTCCGCCTGCATCTTTGGGTTCTTCGGGTAGTATCGCTGCTTAACTGGTATCGCATCGCTCATTGTGATCGTATGCACCGCCACGTTCGATACCCCTTTCATCCTCTTGAATTCCTCCAATTCCTTGGCCAGAAATTCTTCGAACGGGCCTTCCTCTGCACTGTCGCGGCGCCTGCTTCCCGTGGGATACTCGGCTTCGGACTCCTCATCCGCCATTCCTTCTGGGGACTCCTCCTTGGCCTCCACTACTGCCACCGACAGCCTTTCTTCCACCCGCCCTTTCCGTCGGCCTCTCGCAGGGATCATGACCCTGTGCCCCGCACAGGTCACCTCTGCTCCGACTGCGGCAATGAAGTCCCAGCCTAGTACCAGCGAATCGATGACTCCTGGCAGCACCAGAAGCGCCATTGAGACCACTTTGTCTCCGAACGCCAGTTCCACTTCGATTTTTGTCTCGATGGTGCGACGGCGTCCATCGGCCAACCGCACCTGCTTGTCGGTTTTCTCCTCGCGCCCCTCTCCTCGCAGCTGTTCTGCCAGCTCACAGCTGACAAAGCTGCTAGTGGCCCCTGTGTCGACCGTGGCCTTCCATTTCCTCCCTGCGATGTCCACCACGGCTGACAGCTGCACATCCTCCACGGTGAGTTCACCGATTAGGTTTCGGGGACTGCATTCTGCGACCCCGGCACGGCCCTCCTCGGCTTGGGTCGCGGGGCGTTTCCCGACTTTTTGCAGCACTGCCATGTCGTGACGCCGACCTTTCCACACCTCCAGCAGAATGTCAACGGGCGCCCTTGACATGCCTGTGACCAGTGCTCGTCACTTCCGCATCGTCGGCATGCTTGGGCGGGATTCTTAACGTATCCCCCCTCTATATTGG